CTTGACATTTCATTTGACCAACATTGTGTACTTTTGACAGCTCTCTCCAAAGTTTCTAATACTTCTGGTGTTCCAACTGGGCAGTAAATGTCCCCCACTCCATTGCCTGGTGAAGAGGAGAAACTGGGCAAGTGGTTGCAGGCCAAAGACAGAGAGGTGAATTCAAGGACAGCTGCCTCTGGCTGTGAACACTCCTGTAGGCAAGAGGATTCGTTCACTAAGATTCATCCTGGTAGTAAGAAAGGAAGGGAAGTTTCCACCCCTTCAAGACAACAGGAGGGAAATTTAGGAAGACTCTGGGAAGAACCTGGCAGATTCACTTGGGCTTTGAAGGGGTGGAAGGCGTGATGCTTGTTAAGGAAGAATGGCTGGAGCTGGACGTCTCACCACTCGGCCCTGCTGCAGTCTGTCAGGCCAGCCTGAAATCCATCGGTGATGACAGTGAAAGGTCTGAGTGGGTCCCTGCTGCTAGAAGAGAGCTTTGGCCTCCCAGAGAGACTTCCCCGACACAGATGAACTCCCAAGGGAAGGCATTAAAGACTCATCGACTAGGAGTCAGCTCCTGCGCCCAGACCTGGCTTCACAGTGCTGTTGAGGGTCATCTCCTGGAGAGTGAAAAACTGAGCTGGTGAGCTCTGGGTAAGTTCCTGCAGTCAGACCCATAGGCCTGGGGAACGTCCCTAACCCTTCTGTTGAAACAGAACGAGAATTTGAAATATGTTATCTTGACATGGAGCTGCACGTGCCCTGGATTCAGGTAAACTGACTCATTGATGAACATCTCTGCTCGCAAGCCCAAGTCCACCAAAAATGCAACCTCCCTGCACCTAAGTCAGAAGCCATGTGGGATGTGGCTGCTGAATCGAGGGTCCTCAAAACTGAAATACGCGGTGGCAGTGATGACTCTGCTGCCATGGGCCTCGTGTGGATTGAAAGCATAAGTGACTTATTTCAGTGAGCTGCGTGCCACCCCCATACTGCTCAAAACCCAAAGTAAATGTTTCTTAAGGACTTAAGGAAATACCAGCCATCACTGTTTTGCCCATTTTTCGATATGTGTGCACATTTTGAAATCTTTTAATGACAGTAAAGTTACATGTCACTAACATCTTAACTCCAAACATCTGATCTGCAGTGTGTACGTCAGCAGCTCTCACCACACAATTATTAAGATGTATTTTTCTTCTTAGGAACCAGCAGCTTATGTTTTGTGTTTATTTTTCTGAAGTAAGAACTACTTCTTCTCTGGTAACTGGCTCATTTATCACTTTTCAGAAACTAAAAGGTGGGGGAGGAAATGTGATGGATTTTTAAAAATTATTTTTTAATGAGTAAGAAGCATTTACCACTCCCGGCCTCCGCACCCTTGATTTTTCCCTCCCCCAGCCCCACCCTCAGCTGTTCTAAGGAGGATGATAACTGATATGGGACACCGTCTCCCTGTCCCCAAGGGGATCACAGGCCACAAGTATCTGTCCAAGAATGCTGTGGAGCTTCAGGGGGTGGAGACCCAAACTGCTTCGGCTTTGTTGGATATGGGTACCAAAGTCATCATCCTGCTCTGTCTGTAGGGAGAAGAGATGTCAGGATTCAGCTACGGGGGTCTGGGCAGGGTCGGTTCAAAGTGGAGAAGGAATGCTAACAATGTATTACTTCTGTGGCTTCTACTGCTGGATGTCTAATTGGTACTAATGCTCTCTGTACCTGTATTGGGAGTGTTCAGACACTTATGCCCAAGAGAAGCCACACGTGGAGAATGCTAGTAACCTAGGGGCCCCTCTTTGAGCTACAAGTCTCTACGAATAATGATTTCACCACGCAGAGCCTCTGGGCCCGGTTCACTGACCTGAAACCCAGTGGTGCTCACTGATCTGCTGTGGCTTCCAACCTCAGCGAGGGCTGTGAAGGACCAAACATGGGCATAGTCACTCTACTCCGTGGGCAGAACTCAAGGTTATTCTCACAGCTTTGGCCAATACGGCCCTGGATGAATCTGTTACATTTTTACTGACTTTTGGACTGTGGCCAATGGCCTGCCCATTTGGTTGCCACTTGGAAAACTAGAAACTGGAATATTCAAGACACTTCTTTTTGAGACTGAAAGCTAGGGAAACAAATCATGGCTGCTAATTGAACCATCCAGGTGATTCATAGATGCCCAGGATAAGGGCCCAGCCTCTGATGCGGATGACAAGAGTCAAGCTTCAGGCTGAGCCTGAACCACTGATGGCCACCGTCACTGCCTGGATCCACGGCGGCACCAGACACGGCGATACACCCACCGTCTGACCGGGCGCAGAGTAAAGTGGTCCACTTTTCTGAGGCACGGGCTGCCACCACATGCCAAACTTGTGACTCCTGCCACAAGCTGACTCATCTGCCTCATGGTCAGGGAGGACACTTCACACACGAGGCATCACATGCTCCTGGCACTCGGACTCCGTGGAACCTCTGTCCCCTCTCAGAACTGCTGGTGGTGCATCCCAGTGTTGACGCACTTTCAGGTGATGGAATTGCTCTTCCAGTCCAATCAGTCACAAGAGTATATGGCCTGCGAAATGAATCCGAGTCATGTGTTTTGCTTTCTGGACCGTTTTCAGTCTGACAGGGCCCGGTAGCACAGAGGTTCCCCCACAGTGAGCTGTTAGTCAGAGTATTCAGTGAAGCTCTCCTGCTCCCAGCCGTCCAGCGCCATCTGGTTTTACTGAGCTTTGGAAGAGCCTTCTCAAAAACTGCCTGCCTTCCTCACCAAGCCCCCGGCTCACGTGTCATTGTCAGCCAGTTCTGTCATTGAATTCAGCTGTCCCCAAAAAGGAACCATCGCCTCTCAGCTACTTCCTGGATAATTAGTATAAAAGGAGCTGGAATTATATATACCTATTTTAAAAAGTTGAGACTCTGCTGTGACCATTCTTGGACACGATGAGTCTTTTTTGTTTTTCCTCCCCTCTAGATTTTAAGTCCCCTACGTGGAAAGCCGACACATTGTCTGGAATAATGTTCAGTGTATTATGAGTGTTCAACAAATAACAGAATTAATCCTGTAAGCCAAGAAGATTCATTTAGGAAACCACAGTTTATTTGTTCTGCTTTGTTTTGCTTTTCAATTAAATTAAATCTGGGCATTCAACAATGTAAGATTCAAATCATCAAAAACCCTCCTACAGCTGTACTAGGAAGGCCCACGTCTTATTACCCTCTCAGAAAAAAACCTCCTCAAAGACACTGAGCACTACATTGTGCATATTAAAAGTTAACTGTTTAAGAGGTTTATCAGCATTAAATAATTCTCTGTAATTTCCTCCCTGCTTAATTTAATTTTATCGTAAGGAATGTGCCTGGTGGTTCACTAAGATAATCAACAGCTATTAAGATGATCGTCTTGCCTTTAATTACATTTAAAATGAAGAATTTTTAAAAAGCAGCGCTCCATGCATCGTGCTGGGTTCTCTGTGTCAGCTTCCCTGATGTCATCTTTGTAGCTACTTGGATCTGAGCAAAGTTTAAAATGTATGTTTTAGCTTATGTATTTCAATTCTGAAGAGTAACTTTAAAATTACCTGTAAAGAGCAATCAGTCTCTATTAAAAACCAGAGAAACAGTCAAATACTTACATTTTCTTTAAACACAGCTTTGTGAGAAATGTCGTCGATGACTGATTGGCGTTTGTCCCTACGTAATTAGTCCCAACTTAAATGGGATATTTAACCCACTTTTTGTTCATCATTACAACACAGGCACACAGGCCCTAATCTAAAACCAAGTAAAATGAATGGGCTTAAAATGAGTTAGCCAATGAGTGATCAAGATTTTTTTTTATAAGATAAAAAATGTGAAGTGTAACTTTCCTAAAACTGTACTTAACATTAGAATGGGTTAAGAATATTATATTTTCCTTTGGAGATAAACTAAAATTATCCTGCTCTTTTTTTTTTTCTTCTCATACCAAGATTATGATGGAGTACATCCTCACCAGTTTATTTACAAGCTTTTATTTGTTTACATCAGACTCATTCTAAAATGATTTTAAGGCCACTTAGAAAAATAAGTACAAGTAGAGGCAAGAAAAAAAAGTGAGGAAATCAGGGTAAAGAGAAAACAAAGTTGGAATAAAATAAGATGAAACCTGAAATAAAAAGAGCGCACAAAACATGCTATAAGATCATGTTCACAAACTAGATGTGTTTCTCCAAATTGGCTCTAAGCTTCCTGGCAGCCAAGTCAAAACATGTGCACAATCTGTGCAAAATTCATGCTTTTCATGAGGTAAAGACAACCTAGATACTTAGATGAAGCACAGTTATTTCCTTTAGAAGGACTGGGTTTCCTTAGAAAGAGGATGACAAAAGTAAACAAAAGCTGCATGGGTGTACTAATAAAAAATATGCCACATTTCACCGGCAGTTTGTATTACAGCATTCCTTGGTGTAACCTAAGGCTGTGCAGCTGGGTAAAAGCAACCCTTGGATGGCCTAAAATGATGCAGCCCCAGGTTAATCTAACTTGCTCAAAGAATAAACTTTAGAGAGGCTTGAAAACTGAACGAGCACGCTCTCTCAAAACTGAAGTATACACCTGCTCCCCCGGGGAGAGCATTGTAGACTTGACTTAGATCAGACTGACGGCACTCTGTGTACAGACTCAGAGTTGAGTGTAGGTCATCCGTCCCCCAGGCTCCCAGCACACGACAGTCACTGGTCTACAACAGTGGTTCTCAGACTTGAACGTGCGTCAGAATCACTGAAGGGCTTGTTAGAACACAATTGCTAGACTCATAGATACAAAGAACAAACAAGTGGGGAGAGGGGAGGGGCAGTAAAGGGGTGGGGGAGTGGGAGGTACAATCTACCGGGTGTAAGACAGGCTCAGGGAGGTGTCGTACAGCAGAGAGGAATATGGCCAATATTTTGGAATAACTGTAAAAGGAAAGTAACCTTTAAAATTGTATGAAAATTTTTAAAATTTGTTTCTTTTTTTCCCTTTTTAATTTTTTATTGAAGTATAGTCAGTTGACAATATTGTGTCAATTTCTGGTGTACAGCATCATGTTTCAGTCATACATATACATACATTTATTCCTTTTCATATTCTTTTTCCGTATAGGTTAGTACAAGATATTGAATATAGTTCTCTGTGCTGTACAGTAGAAACTTGTTTAAAAATAAAATTTTTTTTTAAAAAATCCACAATTGTGAGACCCCCCAACCCGAGCTCCTGATTCAGTAGGTCTGGGGTGGGCCTTAGAAGGTGCATTTCTAGTATGTTCCCAGGTGATACTGATGGTGGTGAAAGAACCACAGTTTGACAAAACTGATCTACTCAGGGGTCAGCAAATTTTTCCATCAAGGGCCAAAATGTAAATGGCATAGGTGTTACAGGCCATTCATTCTCACTGCTCTGCGTGTGGATAGACACATGCTACAGGCAGTGCTTAGAACAAATGGGCATGTGCAACTATTGACAAAAACAGGTGGTGGGCTGGATTTGTCCCGTAATCGGCTGACTCCTGATCCACACCAGCCTGTAAGCCCACGCACAGACCAAACACCTCCGCTTTGCTACTCACCTTGTCGTAGTGCCTGAAGGCGGCCAGCAAAGTGTCAAAGTTTTGGTAGTTAACTTTCTTCAAGTGATGTCTCACTGCCGCGACCAGGGCTCGCTGTCTGTCCTTGCCTCGGAGATACTCGCCGGGAAGTCTTCTGTGGATGAGATCACCAGCTCCTATTGGGGGGGGGGGTGGGCGGAGCAGTCTTTTATCTGAATTTAAAGTCTGTCACTATTATTCCCATCCTGAGAGAGAGAGAGAGAGATCTAGCAACTTCTGTGAATAGAAAAAAAAAAATCCTAACTCCAATACTATACATGGAATGACAGAAAATCCTTTTGTATACAAATACATATATACACAGTGATTGATAAAAATGAATTCTTCTCCTTTATGTGACCTCTCTGCTCAATGAAAAAATGAATTTTATGGGGGAATCATCAGCCTGCTCAGCTGTCAAGTCCTTTCCTGAGACAGCGAAGCCCTTGCCTGTCTGCGTTTTAGCTGAAATTTGTCTACAAGGCTGAGGGTCTGAAAACCAGGGGTGATTCCATGTGAGGGCCACTCTGTGCCTCAGGGTTGACTAAACCTTTGGGAAACCTTGTAAAAAATGACACAAATTCCCTGTCCCTCCCTAACATTTCCAGTCTGCTTTCAGTCTGCATATTCCAGTCCCCATTTCTCCTCCTGCTTCCCCTGTTCCATCACCAGCACAGGAGACCTGCCTCCATCCACTCCATCAGCTGAGTCCTGATGCGCAACCCCCTATAATGACCTCTCCAGTCCCCATGCTACAGCCCCCAGGCCTGGCCCACGCTTTCACTTTTCTTTCATGACTTAAAGGAACTTCCCTAAATTTGGACACACAGAAAGCACGTACACACACACACACACACACAAATACACACACACACACTGCCTATAAACCCCGTTCCTGGGATGTTAATGGTGACAGACCAGAGTTGACTATGTTGCTTCAGATGTGGTAGCCTGGTAGATGTCACCAGAAGAAACCTTCTGCCTCTGTTCTTTTTGCCCTGTGCTATACCCCTCCCTTCCTGCTTTCCTGGAGCAGGGTCATGCTGGCAGTTGGCTGTGATGTTTCAGGTAGATTAATTTACATTGCAACGTTGGTTGTAATTCAAGATAACTAATATTTACACCTACTCTGTACAAGGTCCTACATTAGGCTCTGTCAAGGTTCTCTTTTTTTTTTTTTTAATTGGTGTATAGTTGGTTTACAATGTTGTGTTAATTTCTGGTGTACAGCACAGTGATTCAGTTACACATTTTATATATATGTATATATATTCCTTTTCATATTTTTTTCATTATAGGCTATTACAAGATATTGAATATAGTTCCCTGTGCTCTACAGTAGGACCTTGTTGGTTATCTGTTTTATATATACTAGTGTGTATCTGCAAATCCCCAACTCCCAATATATCCCTCCGCCCACCCCTCTTCCCCCCTGGCAACCATAGGTTTGTTTTCTATGAAGGGTCTCTTTAATAAGTCCTTGTAGCACCTCTAAGTGTATTATAAAATCAGGAGCTAATCCTGCACATCCTGATAAAAGTCTCCTTTCTAAGGGTAGACCCTGAGGCTAGGTGAAAAGCCCACAGCCAGTGGTGCTTCCAGGAACGGGGCAGGTGCCTCAGAACAAAATCATGTGAGATGAGGTCAGCTACCGTCAGACCATCCTAAAGCGGGTTCTGCGAGAGGAGGTCAAAATGATGAGGGGTGAGTTTTTGTGGTTTTTTTTAATCTGCGTGCTATTTTATTTCCATTAGAAAAATACTATCTATATAAAATTTTGGTCCAGTAGGGGTGATTTTTGAAAACTAAGTGTGATTTCCTTTTCTCCTCCACATCCCTTCCCTGTATAAACCCTTTAGGGGCTGCTCTGTATAAGGGAGGCCCTGCCTCCGCCACAGGATGGCTCTTGGTTGAGTTTTTTATCTTGAGAGATCTTCCCTCTCCATTAACATACAAAAATAACCATTTGAATGGTTGTATCTCCAACTCCCCGCTGGTTTTCCCACCACACGCCCCCCCCAGGTAAAACTGCCCGATGGGTGAGATAGACAAACGCTGACACCTTCTTCTGGCCTCGCCCCGAAAGAATATTTGTGAAGCTCATGTCAGATCACTGACAGTTACTCAAAAGCCATCTCTACAGAGTAAAATCAGGAGTACAAGCTCTGGCCCTAAGAGACAGACCCATGACTTCACTACCACAGCAGGGACATCAGAAAAGCCACTCTACCTGCAGCCAGTTCCCGTGATGCACCACTGCCCACCTGTCCTGGACTCCCTGTCAGGCCACCTCTGCCTTGGTGCATTCTGGGAGCTGGCACAGCCCTTACAGTCTTCCTAGAGGAATCTCAACATAACCAACAACCCCAGGGCCCCGGGATGAGGTGTTCTTTGTGCAGCTGCCTCATTTCCCTAAGTAAGGGTAATGGAGTAATCTAGGCCCAGTAAAGAAACCAATATGTCCTGTGAAGCAGGCCGACCCTGAATCTTTCCACGGAGTAGACGCTGTTAGTTAACCCCGATAGTTGTCACAGAAGGCAGCTAGAGTTCGTCTGTGTCTGTCCATGGGCTCCAGAAAAGACCTAGAGGGGACTTCCAGGCCCCTTTCACAGTTACACTGTGCAGTACCAAGGCTGATACTGATCATATTTTTTCAACTATTAATGTCAGTGTCCTTCCTTTTCATTTTATAGCACTATCTTATCATTCAATTTATAAAGATAAAATAGCTCAACTCTTAGGAAATTTGTCAATGTTGTCTAATTGTCAACATGATAAACTATGTGTTGGATTCAGCAATTCATGCTATAAATACCAGTGAAAACAATGTCCTGTGTGCTAGACCCCAGGAATCCAACAGACAGCAAGATGGGTCACCCACCAGCCTAAACCTGCCCTCAACTAGGCAGCTGACCGTGACTACCTACTTGTTTTTCAGGCTAACTGATGGGTTTCCTAAGTCATCCTTTACCTACCCCTAGGTGTATGAAGAGCCTCTCAGATGGGCAGGCATCCATTAAACATACAACAGTTTATCTAAAAACAGAACCAAAATATGATCTCCTAATGTGGTGATTCACGGTGCTCTAAAACACTGAGTTGCATAAGCTCGATAAACCTTTAATTTGTCAGGGAGTGGACTTTAGCTGACACATTTTCAATAGTGGTCCTTAAACTAACGTACATGAGAGCCTACTGAATCAGAATATCTGGACACGAGTCCCAGGAACCTGCGTATTTAATAAATTCCCTGGATGATTTTAACACAGGTAGACGGCAGACAGTATTTTGACAACCACTAATATGCAGTCCAATCCTGATAAGCTTTGGCATAGTTTTCCCTTTGAAGGGCTGCTGTGTAGCTTAGCACTGAAGACAAAATCCTGAGAAGTTTCTTTTGCTGATTTGTAGATTGATTAATTGATGGAATGATGGGTGAGAAGAGTGATTTATAATTACGTGATCATAGAGTACAGTGCTTTCTCGACTTTGAACATCCATCCAGTTCATCTGGGAATGTTGTTAAAATGCAGTTTCAGATTCAGTAGATCTGGGGTGGAGCCTGAGGTTCTGGATTCCAAGAACTTGCAGGAGATGCCAACACGGCCAGTCTGCAACCACATTTTGAGTCACAATGGCCTGGTACAATATTTGAATTCATTAAAAAGCTGCCTCACTTCACTTTGGCTTGTATAATACACACTATATTTATTTTCTGAATAAATTCTGAGCCTTAACTACACGTAAGGAATTCATTACAAGGGCTTTAAACTGTACCTATCTCAAATGTTATGTGAACATTTTGTTTCCTTCATGTGCTACAAATTGTTCTCATTACAGTTAACATAATATTTTAAGCCTTTAAAATTGGAAGCTTTGAGAGGAGGAGATGGTGAACTCTGGGGGGATTTTGCTGTCGTCATTTGTTTTTTAAGAAGGGAATTCGTACACTTACCATACTCGTCCGGATGGAGACAAGCCCCAAATGTGTGGTCTGGGGGAACGTTCATTGTTTCTGCAATGCTATCAAAGAAAACAAATCCCTTAGTGAAAATACCCACCACATGGCATCCCTAGAATTTAAAATATGTTTGCCACATGTTTTTAATCGGCTAAGTTTTCTCCTACAACCAAACTATGAAGATCAAACAGAAGTTCTCCAACAGAGCTTTTGTGTAATCTTCCACTTGTATCAGCAATAGCTGAATGGTTTCACTGGCTTTCAGTAGCCCAGACTGAAAACGAAAAAACAGAACATACTCAAAGCAGAATTATGCAAGTATATATATATATATAGAGAGAGAGAGAGAGAAAGGGAGAGAGAGGAATGTAGCACAATAGGTTAAATTTCTGATAGCCCAGAAATAAAGCTTTCCACAAAATTCTTCCTCCCTCTTCTCCAAATGCCCTCTCCATCTGAGAGGACTCAGCACTTTCCTGGAACCCCAAGCTCTGTAGAAGCTAATCGAGTTCCCTGAGTGACACAAAAGGATGATTCTTATTGAGAAGGTAGAATCTAATAGAACCCAAACCAAAATTCCGCAAGAGTACTTTTTAAATTTGAGCCGAAAAAAGTATCAATTCTAACTTAATTGTCGACTTACGGATCTAAAACTCTTCCAAGCTTATGCTGAAACTTTTCTTTGAAATCATCAACTCTCTTGGATACGATCTTAGCTCCTCTTTTCCTGTAAGATGAGAAAATTGTCAGGTATCTGTATTACCTAAAGTATTCTTGGCTACCTAATACACATATATGTGAGGACTACCACCGTATCATTTGGGCCATCAAAAAATAATTCCAGTTTTGGGGGGAGGGTGTAGCTCAGGGGTAGAGTGCACTGCTCAGTGTGCACAAGGTCCTGGGTTCAAGCCCCAGTATCCCCTTTAAAAAATAATAGTAACAAGAATAAATAAATGAACATAATTACCCCCCCAAAAAATAGTAATAGTAATTCCAGTTTCAAAAGAAGCTATATGCTAAAAAGAAAGCTTTATGTGTTTAGTGTAAAGATAAGTTTATAATAGAGTGTAAAATTATGATTAAAGAATAAGACAAGCAGACAAAAATATTTTTGGGGAAACAAAACCGAAGTGTTAATATCATTCTTCTAAGTGTAACTCCTAAAATTGCTAGAAGAAAAGTAAGCATCAAATAAATAACCAAAGGATATGAACAAATAACTCACATCTAGTAAACAAATATATGGAGAAATTACAATACTCTTCAGTAATAAGAGAAACTTGAAATAAAATACTTTTAAATGTAAAATAAAGTGCCACTTTTAACATAAGTAAATAGAGAGACTATCTAAGATTGGCAAAAAGTTTGGTAAGACACTTGTAGATTGCTAGTGCAATTGCTATAATCCTTTTGGAAATAAATTAGTAATATGATTCAGTGAGGATAAAAATCTTCATCCTCTCTTATGTACATCTGGAAACCAATCATAAGGAGATAATCCACATAATTAAAAGTGTGAAGAAGTTGTATTCATAAAAATGCTTGTAGCCTCATTGACTATAATGAAAAAAAAGCAAAGAATCTAAATGTTCAATCACGGAGGATGATTAAATTACATCACATTAACAGGAATACACTTTTTGCATTTTAAATGTTGGTTATTAAGAATAACACAGCAATATAAAATTATTTTATGTTAAGTGGAAAAGCAGGATATAAAATGAGGTTGCACTCTGATTAAAGCTATGCAGAAATCTACACAGGAAGCCACACTAGAAAGAAATAGATTAAAAAGATAATAATGGTTGAATGAAGGTGACAGGATTATGGGTGATTTTATTTTGCCAATTTTCTGTAATATAATTTCATTACTTCCATCACTGTGATTAAAAGAGTGTAATTTCTTTTGAGAACTGTGGAATTATACCACCGCTATTTAATAACATTAAAATTAATAAATTCTCTATTGTTTTGCTCAAACTAAAAACAATGAACATTAAATTCTTGAACTCCATTTGCTTTTAAAACTATTTCTTGTACTGTAGAATATGGAGCTGAATAAATTTCTGGAGAAGAGTGACACTCTGTGGAGAAACAAAAGATGAAATAAGTAATTCATCTCTTATGTCTTCGTTTACTTCCCCTTAGTTCAGAAAGGGGAAAAAGAACAATATGGGTAAAGTCAGAATAAATCAATGGCAGTTTAAAGGCTGTAATTTGAACAAATCTAAGTGTAAGGATCCCAAATCATGGATGCTACACTTTTCAGCCTAAAAGGGCTTGAATTATGTTTCTGGGAGAATCAGGAAGTATTTGTGAACAGCCATGTATGTCAGAATATCAGTAACTGTAACATCAGTACACACCTCGCAGCATTCCCCAGCCAACTCAGAGTAAAGTCTTTTGCATGCCAGTGAATTTTTTCACACACACACACACACATACACACATACACCACCTACCGTTTCAAGATTCTAAATGATTCTTCAGACCAAAAGTCACAAACAGAATATAGATAGAGATAGTTTTATGGAAGAAATACATCCCTTCATAGTTAAGGGTAAATGAAATAAAATGGTGCATGTCAAATTGAGAGGTAAATAAACACGCTTAGCTCCAAGTTTATAATAGAAATCACATTGAAGAATGAAATAGTAAGTTCTTTTTAAAATCCAGCAAACCAGGAGAATAATCTCTATTGTTTCAGCAGCAGTTTTCCAACTAAGTTTTGAAATACAGAAAGTATGATCAAATAAAACATTGTTCCATCAATGATGTTTCCTTGGGGATAGAGACAAATTGGAGGGAAATGTATCTTACATACTGCCTGCTTTTATAAATTCAGTGTGTTTTTCTATGACTACGCCAAGTCATTGATAAATATGTCCTTGTTCATGACCCAAAGGCTCTGCTCTTAGGACTTTCTTAAGGACTACATTGTCATTGTGTTTATTTCATATCTTTTATAAATTGATAGCAGGTTTATATTTCTAAGCTTTCAGAAATGGGTAAACCATATTTGTTATCTCCCTTTAAATATCAATTTCGACATTCTATTGAATTATAAATATCTACAGTCAAATATTTTAATTGTTTCTTCATGTTTTCCTTTACATATGGTTTAACCACTCTAATCATGATAAATTAATGAATATTTGTTTTATGAGCTCTTCTGTACCCTAAAGAAAACTGGGTTTACTTTTATTTTTTAATATATAAACATTTTTTTATTGAGTTATAGTCATTGTATAATGTTGTGTCTGGGTTTACTTTTCATGTGGGTTTACTATAATATTTTAAGAATTTCTCCTGTGTTTGTGTTTTACCATTATTGTTTTGAATAATTCAAGTATTAGAAACTCATATAATAAAGGAGTAGAAGGAGACTGGAAATCAATATTTGAGGCCTGTGATCACAGGGTCAAGTGCCTATAAAGCCGGTGTACGGGTTAGGGGCGGCCTCTGGAAACACACTGCCAGGTTGCATTCCTCCTCCAGTACTTCTTAGCTGCATGATCTTGGGCAGATGATTTAACTTCTCTTACCTCAGTTTCTTCATCTGTAAAATAGAAGGGATAAAAAGTATAGTACACCTACCCCGTCGAGTTGTTGGTAGGATGAAATTGATAATATATAAAGTACTTAGCACTTTGCCTCTGTAACCAGGAGCTGTTTCCACAGCGACCACACAGGCAAATGAGCAAAGCAGGCCAGGTGCCCGAGGGAACGCAAAGTCCGCGTGCACACAGGGGCCTGTGGAAACTTGGAGGGCTGGTGCATCCTTTAAAGAGAGCAGAGGGCAAAAGTAATCCACTCCCACCACTGATGTATAGAAATGCAGGCCCGGTATATTCATTTCCTGTGGTTGCTAGAACAAATTACCACAAACATGTGGCTTGACGCAAGAGAAAGGTGAGTTCTCTCACAGTACTGGAGACTGAGTCTGATTGAGATCAGGCTGCACTTCCCCCAGAGGCTCGGGGGGAGAATCTGTTCATTGCTTCTTCCAGCATCTGGAGGCTGTGGGCATCCTTTGGACTTCCTTGGCTTGATGCCACATCATCGCAGTCTCCTCTGTCTTCACAGCGTCTTCTCCCCCGTACGTCTCTCTTCTGTCTCCAGTCTCCCTCTGCCTTTTCCTTATAAGGACACCTGTCACTGGACTCAGGGCCCACCCACATAACCCAGAGTGGTCTCTTCAGCTCAGAATCTTTAACTTAGTTGCATTTACAAAGACCCTATATAAGATAACATTCATAGGTTCTGGGAATTAGAATATGGATACATCTTTCGGGGCCACTGTTCGGTATTTTCAGTCTTCTGATTTTTTAAGCATAGTAGGAAATACGGGTTTTGTGAGTAATCTCCCAATATTTGTTGATTTAGATATAAAATATAAGACAAGAAGTGAAAAACTAAGAAATTTTATTTTAATTTCTTAGGAAAGTGGTCATATATGGAATGCAGGCGTAAAGAGGTCACAGTTTGCAAGAGTTAAGTCAGATACTCAGGTGCTCAAATCTCTATTAAACAAAGCTGAACGACAGATGACAGGTCAGTTACATGTGACATGTTTGTAGAGATTTGAAAGCCCACCATCTTTAAGAAACATAACAGGGTTGATCCCATAGATTAAAAACATTCGTGTATGTAGAAAACAATCTTGTGGTTACCAGGGGGAAAGAGAGGTGGAAAGGGATAAATTGGGAGTTCGAGATTTGCAGATACTACTATCTATAAATAGATAAACAAATTTCTACTGTATGTAGTACAGGGAACTTTATTCAATATCTTGTAGTAACCTATAATGAAAAAGAATATGAAAAGAAATATATGTATGTGTATGCATGACTGAAACATTATGCTGTCCACCAAAGATTGACACATTGTCAACTGACTATACCTCAGTTAAAAAAAAGTCATGTATGTCTTCAGACCTGCTGAAAAGGCATAAAGTAACTTTAGAATCACACATACACAACATACACTCAAACACACACACACAAAACAGTATCATAGTTATCTTTGGGGGAACTAGATAGTTTGGAAGACATATCACTGTGCGTCTTTTTCTGTTATTTTTATGTTTGAACCACGTCAGTGCATTACCTCTTCAGAAAATAAATTTAATAAATAAACTTTTCTTTATGTCCATATACCATGTATCTCACACTTGTTCCAAGACACAATATACTTGAACTTACATTTGTAGTTCCTGAAGCCAATATAACGTTTTTGCCATGTTTCGTCCATCATTAAAATGTGGCGTTGGGACCCCATACAAGTTAAACCTATGAAAACTTGATGGGTTATACTTTCGGTTCTTTGCTTCTCCTGTGAAAAGTAAAAGGGGAGGAGGGGAGACTTCTGACTTAAGCAACACAACTAACCTTATCTTGCATGAAGCACATTATGTTCTCATTGACAATGAAAATGAGAGTGAGACAAAGAATGAAGTTGTAACAGCGCAGGAGATTGCAAGCATTTGGGCATAGACGATAGAGGCCTTCTCCCACGTGAGGGGGGAAGACTGGTGGGACAAGAATTCCTTGTGTTAATATTTGGAAAGTGAATGGAAACATGATGTAGGAGAAAGATAAATATAAATGATGAAAAGATTTTACCTAGCATCAACACGTCAACAATTAAATTGTAGGCTACAGCACTTAAACATCCATTGCCTTTTAGTTATGCTACAGAATAATTCTAGTAATAGGCTACTTCAAGTCAAGATCAAGTAATAATAGTAATAACAGCTAATAGTTATTGAGCCCTTGCTATGTTCCAGGCATTATGCCAAGCATTTTTCAGGCACTCATTTAATCCTCACAGTATTATTATTCCTACTAAATAAATTAAAATGGATTGTGATAAGTAAAAAATTCAAAGTCTAAAAGATAATAAATGGACAAGCTAGGACTTGAATCTGATTGGATTCAAAAATTTCCTCACTTGATCATTATCTAACATTCCTCCTATAAAGCACTTCGAGTAACCCTGATATTTGAATAAGAGTGGTATTTTTTAAGCCTGAAGCCTAAAACAAGATTAGACTAACATTTAATCTTTCTTAGCTGTTTTATCATTTTGGTGATACATATTTTTCTGCATTTTATGCACGAAATGCATAGGTGTATGTGTTCCCAGCTATCAGGACTTATAACCTCATAAATAGTACGTTATTTTTATTGATCACCTATATATGCCAGGCTTTTAACTTTAAGCCCATTATCCTCTATTTGTGTTCACATCCCTGAGAGTCTCATGTGCTCAGACCTGTTTCACACACGAAGACACTTACCTACATAATAATCATTGTGAGAAACAATATACAGGTCATGTCCTTCCTGTCCTTCTTCAAATACTTCTTTATAGGATTTTGGTGGATTCACCACATCTCTAGCGGATAATCCTGAAGGAAGAATTAATGAAATCACTTTTAAGGTATTTTTGCCCGTATTTTTTTCTCTTTTTAAAAAATTTTATTTTTTTAATTGAAGTACAGTTAATTTACAATGTTAGTTTCAGGTGTACAGCAAAGCAATTCAGTTATACATATACATACTTTTTTTTTCAAATTCTTTTAAAACTTTTTTTAATTGAAGTATAGGCAGTTTACAATGTGTCCATTTCTGGTGTACAGCATAATGTTTCAGTCATATGTATACAGACAGATACTCCTTTTCATATTCTTTTTCATTGTAGGTTACCCCAAGATGTTGAATATAGTTCCCCGTGCTATATATGGTAGGTCCTTGTAGCTTATCTATTTTATATATAGTAACATGTATCTGTTGTAACAGATTATCTGTTTATAACATTTAAATCAACTAGAGCAAATGACAAACTAGGTATGCTGATTGCATAAGCTACATGGGCACAAAGCCAGCACAAAGATTTATCAAGAAAGACAGGAATAGCCCAGGCATTGCTGTCTTTGGGACCCACGCTCGAACAGGCTCACTCCCTAGAATTCTGAAGAATGTCAGAACTCTGTATCAGTTAACCACTTTAGTTGTCCTGAGCCATATTCCAAGCCCAATTTGGAATCTCTGGACAATTTTTATTTTAGTTTGCTCCAGACTTCCCAAGATGCTCTAGGCAAATTTGAATCACAAGTCAGTTTCAGAAACCCGGATACCCTGTTGAGAAAACTTGATGCAAATTTTACCAGCTGTAGACTGGAGCACACACCCTTAATCTGTTTTGATGTGAATATCCATCTTCAAAGTAACTGAAAGTGCCAGAGTAATCACTGGAATCAGGAAAAAATTCTTCTTCTACCAGTTCCAAACCTGGAGCAGGTGGAACAGTTGCTCTCCCAAGACTGGTGGTCCTGGGGATTTTATATCCAGTGAATTATTTTATTTTTATTGTTTTATGTAATGATTTTTCAATATAATTCCATTTACAATTTCACTCTTCTCTTTCAACCTAACGACATATATTAAGATGTTTTCTTTCTATTGACTTTCTCCCAAGAATTGGGGTCTGTAAGCAAACATTTAAGAATACCAAAAGGTTTTCTGACTCAGAATAATCCTGTAAATCAGTGCTTCTTTATGATACATGAACCATTACACCTGTTGATACACATATACACGTAACATTTTGGAACATTCCTTCTATTGCACATTTAAATGAGGTACATCTGGACAGTACTTTCCATATTAAATGAACTAATCCCAGATAGCCATTATGATATAATTAGTGAAATACTGTAATGCCACGTCTGCTTAAATACAATTCTTAATCCCACTTAAAAGAAAAACAGATATTTTACCCATTCTAAAATACATTTTTCCTGTTCCAAAGTTTAACAAATGTTAACTTTAGATCTAATACAATAAAGTCTTACTGCAGATTTTTCATCCCAAGAGAAAGGCATCATTTATCTCCAGAATATATGTCACTATGTTAAGGAAAATAATCTAATGGACCTTTTGGTGAAAAAAAAAAATGATACAGTTCCTGGAACAGAGCCTTAATGGATGCAGAAAGACAAAGAGAGAAGTGAATTCCTCTGCAGGATGAAAAAGAAAAATGGAATTTTTTTTTTTATCTGAAGGGAAGGATGAGGGACCTGAAGAAGCTAGGAGAACTGGGTAAACGTGAAAAAAAAGGTGTCAAGGAGAGCACCCAACAACGTGGCAAGAGCTGCGTTCAGAAGAAATAATGACCTGTGACCAGTTCTATTCTAAGTCCTTTATTGAAAGATGTGCTCTACTCCCTCTCAAAATGAAAGGGGGATCTACCTGTTTGGTTAATATGCAGGTAGATATCATGAATCTGCATGAATGAGGAAGTATGCAGAATTTACCAAACTTCGTGGTCTGTTGTATGAAACAGCGGTTCACGAAGAGTTAACAGTTATGGGGGAGGGTAATAGCTCAGTGGTAGAGCACCTGCTTAGCATACACGAGGTCCTGGGTTCAATCCCCAGTACCTCCATTAAAAAAAAAAAGGGTTAAGACTTATGAACACATCAGGGGCATTGGTGTGTAATAAATCACACAAATAGATGGGGGGTGGTAGCAGGTAACAGTCCTCACAGTTGGCCCCAGCGTCCACTTCCCTGGGTCTTTTTCCTGCCTTTATACCACCTCTACTCTGCCCCATGAGTCACCTCTCCAAACCCTGACATTTCACTGCCTTGACACACGTAAACCCTAAGGCTTCTGGGTCTGAGAGTAACTTTCTTGCTCCGACCCCATCTTTCATTCTTGGATCATAATTTACACCTGCACTGAACACCATCCCAAAAGGATATATAATCCCATTTTCTAAGAAAACTTCTTTCATCACCACCACCCCACCCCTTACTTTTTCGCTACCTCTGACGACTGCTGTCCCAAACGTCGTATTGAGTGTATCCAGGCCTTTGGGTAATCCCGGCGTCTGATCGTGAGATTTTCCCAGCGGTGCTCGTCGACTGCTAAAATATACTGATTCCTTTTTGTCTTTAATTTTCTGTTGAAATGTTGTAATTGGCTGTGGGTTTATCAATACCTTTGCCTAAAGAAATCATATAAAGCAAAGATGCCACAACAACAACAAAAAGGTAAAAATCTGAAAACTGAAACTCTAATCAGCACCCGGGGAGAAGAGAACAGGATTGTGGGAAAACATTTCCTTAGCGTTGCCTTTGCTCACCTTCAAATGAGCTGTCAGAACTGGGACTATGCAGCTTAAACATGTCAAAACATGGCTTTGCAATGGGGCTAAAAGGTTTATGAGGCCAGCTCGCTGGTTACTCAACTCAAATCTTCCAGAAAAGTGGGAATGACAAGCACAAGAATCCCATGATTCCCACAAGTGCCCTCCAGAGATGAAATCAGGGCTTCTGACCCTGGACTGTCCATTCAGTCACTGATTCAACGCCGAGACCCTGCACGCACTCAGTGCATGTACAAGCATGCGCAGTGCCTCTAGGCAGCATCGCCCAGCCTTTGTCCGCACTGTTCTGTAATAAACCTTGACAGCAGCTCTCACTACTGTGAGAAAATGAAGTGCAACTCAGCTTTTATTATCTGAAGGGAGAATGTATAATTTGTGGCTCAAACCATTGATTTTTCTACACTCTCTTGGCTGCCATTGCTTGGGGTTTTTTTTCACTGCCCAGGATTAAGAGTGGGAAAGAGATTGGAACCGATGATTTCACTAACACCTCGTTTTGCATTTTCACCTTAGTAAATTATTAAGGTACAGGGAATAATAGAAAGGAAGTTACCGGTATTGAAATTTTAGATCTTATGCCATGTGTCAAATAAGGTGCGATTTGAGGATCATTTGCTCTGCCGTGAAATACTCTTTCGGCTCCAGCAGGTGGATATCTGAAGTTGAAAAATTTTTTTGCCTCAGGTGGGGTCACTGGCTACAAACAGTGAGACAAAAAAATAGGATTATCAAGTACAGTTGTTTCGATCTTAGCAAGACTGATCTATACCAATCAGTGAACACCTTTCTTTATATGAGTGTAGTAAGTACATGGGGAACCACAGTCCCAAATAATGAAACATCCTAAATTTTCTTTTGTAGTGAAAATAAACAACATATTTTAGAAGTCGTATTCAGAAAACAGTCAGTATCCAGGTTAGGAAGCATACCATAAATAATTTTCCTATCAAAAATAAATGGAATCTCCACTAATTTTAGTAGAGCTGGAGATTGTAAGCCTGGAATTTTCACTTGCTTGGACAAACTCAATAGAGGGCCTCAAAATACAGTTTAAAAAAAAATCCAAATTGATTACATTAAATTTACACAGCTTTCACAAGAAATGTTGAAAGTCATTTCTCTTATGTTCACACAGATGCATTTTGAAAACACTCACCCTGGGAAGTTTTTCAGTCAAGCAGCTTGCAACTCTGTACCCAATCGGAAGAACTTTTCCTGCCTAAGAGAAAAATAAGCAATAGTTGGTCATTGTCAGAGTAGAGGGGGAGAGTTTTGAAGAATGGAATGTATTTCACATTTGGTCTATGATTCTGATGCTACAAAGTTACTTTCAACTACTTAACAATTAAGAAAAATAGCACAAATAGCAAATTGAAAGCAATCCTCATGTAGAATATAAACATTAGATGCTGCATATATTCAAATACTTTTTTTTTTACAGTGCATTCTCAGTGATCCATCCAATTACAGGACCTCTGTGACATGCTGAGGAATTCAACTTTCAGAAATAATCTTATCATCGTTCACAGGTTAATTATCGGCTGTCCTGTGCTCATCAGTACAGTGAGAGTAGGCTGAAGTCAAGCTAAATTCTAGATAAAGTGTTAGATATTTCTGAGCGCGTGTGGGTGCGTTTGCCTGGGGGTTACATTTCCACCAAGGCTCTTAACTTTTGGCACTTGGCAAACATCACCCCTGGCCAAGCTCCTTCCATAAATGGCCCAAATCTCACTTGGCTTTGTTCATTTGATTGTAACTTGAGTCTTATCTGTCCTTCCTTTGCCCAAGCAAAGATAATAACTCTTCATTCCCAGCAGTGTACCTCTTAACTATTTCCCCTTATCATTTCAAGGCAGCTGATAGTTATTTCTGCAAAGCATAAGCTTCTCTTTAAAAACTGAAAGAAAGAAACTTCCTGTAAAGAGTGTTCGAGGTCTCTGGAGGGGGATGGGGCAGAATGGGTGAGGACAGAGACAAGCAGAGAGGTTGAGTGAGAGTTGGGTGGATGGATGAATGTGTAGGTGTCAGCACGTGGGTGGACAGATTAGCTAAATGGAGGGATGGCTGGATGACAATATGGACAGATGGATATAGATGGGCAGATGAACTTCTTTATTACATTGAATATCAAGTGCAGAATTACTCTTAGAGGGAGAGCCATCAAGGATTATGAGAGTATCTTGATGACATCTCTGAATATCAAAGAGGAAGCCCACAGACATGGTCAGACAGAGAGGTTAATTGCATTGCTAAAAAAATGGGAGAAAATATAAACTATTGTTGGGATAGACCAAGGAAGGAAGAAGGAGAATGACAGATAGATTGAGAAAAGGTGTGAGAAGAGCAAGATCCAGCAACAATGTGAGAGGCCAGGAAGCCCAAGATGAGAAACTGGCCAGGGACGAGCAGCCCAGCCTTAATGCCAAATCTTGGGTAAATTCTACTTACATAGCTATGTGATAGAAGGAGAACCTGGTGTCAAGAAGGAAAGGGGCTGTATTCTAACTTGGTCTGAAGCAGGTCAGGAAAAAGGGAGGAGAAAAACAATTTTTTTTTTGCATTCTTTTTTATTGAAGTATAGTCAGTTTACGATCAATTGTGTCAATTTTGGATGTACAGCATAATGTTTCAGTCATACATATAAGTACATATATTTGTTTTCATATTCTTTTTCATTATAGGTTACTACAAGATATTGAATATAGTTCCCTGCGCTATACAGTATAACCATGTTATCTGTTTTATATATGACAGTTAGTATCTGCAAATCTCAAACTCCCAATTTATCCTTTCCCACCTCCTTTACCCCCTGGTAAGTTTGTTTTCTATGTCTGCAAGTCTGTTTCTGTTTTGTAAATAAGTTCATTTGTGTCTTTTTTTAGATTCCACATATAAGCAATATATGGCATTTTTCTTTTTCTTTCTGACTTATTTCACTTAGAATGACAATCTCCAGGTCCATCCATGTTGCTGCAAATAGCATTATTTTTCTTTTTATGGCTGAGTAGTATTCCATTGTATGTATGTACCACTTATTTTTTATCCATTCATCTGTAAATGGACATTTAAGTTGTTTCCATGTCTTGGTTATTGTAAATAGTGCTGCTATGAACATTGAGGTGCATGTGTCTGTTCAAATTAGAGTTCTCTCTGGATAGATACCCAGTAGTGGGCTTGCTGGATCATATGGTAAGTCTATTTTTAGTTTTTTAAGGAAGCTCCATACTGACCTTCATAGTGGCTGCACCAATTTACATTCCCACCAGCAGTGTAGGAGGGCTCCTTTTTCTCCACACCCTCTCCAGCATTTATTACTTGTAGACTTTTTAATCATAGCCATTCTGACTGGTGTGAGGTGATACTTCATTGTAGTTTTGATTTGCATTTCTCTAATAATTAGTGATGTTAAACATCTTTTCATGTGCCTGTTGGACATCTGGATGTCATCTGTGGGGAGATGTCTATTTAGGTCTTCTGTTCATTTTTTTATTGGGTTATTTTTTCTTTGTTTATTTGTTTTGTTTGTTTGTTTTGATATTAGGCTGTGTGAGCTGTTTGTATATTTTGGAAATTAGTCCCTTGTTGGTCGCATCATTTGCAAATATTTTCTCCCATTCTGTAGGTTGTCTTATCATTTTGTTAGTAGTATCCTTAGCTGTGCAAAACCTTTTAAGTTTAATTAGGTCTCATTTGTTTATTTTTGCTTTTATTTCCATTACTCTGGGAGCTGGTTCAAAAAGATATTGCTGCCATTTATGTTGAAGAGTGTTCTGCCTATGTTTTCCTCTAGGATTTTTATAGTATCTGGTCTTACATTTAGGTCTTTATCCATTTTGAGTTTATTTTTGTATATGGTGTTAGAGAATGTTCTAATTTCATTCTTTTACAGGTAGCTGTCCAGTTTTCCCAGCACCACATATTGAGAAGACTTTTTTCCATTGTATATTCTTGCCTCCTTTGTCATAGATTAATTGACTATAAGTGTGTAGATTTATTTCTGGACTTTCTATCCTGTTCCATTGATCTATGTGTCTATTTTTGTGCTGGTACCATACTGTTTTGATCATTGTAGCTTTGTAGTATAGTCTGAAGCCAGGGAGTGTGATTCTTCCAGTTCCATTCTTCTTTCTCAAGACTGTTTTGGCTATTCAGGGTCTTTTGTGTTTCCATACAAATTTTAACATTTTTTGTTCCAGTTCTGTGAAGAATGTAATTCGTAATTTCATGGGGATTGCATTGAATCTATATATTGCCTTGGGTAGTATGGCCATTTTAATTATATTGATTCTTCCAATTCAAGAACACAATATATCTTTCCATCTATTTTGTGTCATCTTTCAATTTTTTCATCAGTGTCTTATAGTTTTTGGCATACAGGTCCTTTGTTTCCTTAGGTAGATTTATTTCTAGGTGTTTTTGTTTTTTGGTTTTTTTTTTGATGCAATAGTAAATGGGATTGTTTCCTTAACTTCTTTTTCTGATATTTTGTTGTTAGTGTATAGAAATGCAACTGGTTTCCATGTATTAATTTGTATCCTGAAACTACCAAATTCATTAATGAGCTCTAATAGTTTTCTGGTAGTGTCTTTAGGATGTTCTATGTATAGTATCATGTCATCTGTAAACAATGACAGTTTTACTTCATGTTTTTCCCATTTGGATTTTTTAAATTTCTTTTTCTTCTCTGATTGCTGTAGCTGGGACTTCCAAAACTATGTTGAATGAAAGTGGCGAGAGTGGGATTTCCTGTCTCGTTCCTGATCTTAGAGGAAATGCTTTCACCTTTTCAACACTGAGTACGATGTTAGCTGTGGGTTTGTCATATATGGCCTTTGTTATGTTGAGGTATGTTCTGTCTTTGCCCACTTTCTGGAGAGGTTTTATCATAAATGGATGTTGAATTTTATCGAAAACTTTTTTTATGGACCTATTGAGATGATCATACGGTTTTTATTTTTCATTTTATTAATGTGGTGTATCACATTGATTGATTTGCAGATATTGAAAAATCCTTGCATCCCTGGGATAAATCCCATTTGATCATAGTATATGATCCTTTTCATGTATTGTTGGATACAGTTTGCTAATATTTTGCTGAGGATTTTTGCATCTATGTTCATCAGTGATATGGGCCTGTAATTTTCTTTTTTTGTGATATTTTTTGTCTCATTTTGGTATCAGGGTGATGGTGGCATCATAGAATGAGTTTGGAAGTGTTCCTTCCTCTGCAGTTTTTTGGAATAGTTTCAGAAGGATAGGTGTTAACTTTTCTCTAAATGTTTGGTAGAATTTGCCTGTGAAGCCCTCTGGTCCTGGACTTTTGTTTGTTGTGATTTTTTAAGTTACTGATTTGATTTCAGTACTGGTAATTACAAGTGATTTTTTAATTCAGCTGGAAATGATAAATGTCAGAGATATCAGGGAACATAAAGTCTCTTTTGCTATTCATGTTATAGAATCTCCAGCCATTCTTTTATTTTTATTTTTATTTTTTTGAGTGTTTTTAAAATTAAGATATAGTCAACTTACAATGTTGTGTTAGTTTCTGGTGTACAGCCTAGTGATTCAGTTATACATAAGTAAATGTTCTTTTTCATTATAGGCTATTAAAAGCTATTAATTCTAGTTCCCTGTGCTATACAGTAGGACATTGTTGTTTATCTATTTTATACATAGTAGTTAGTATCTGTAAATCTTGAACCCCCAATTTATCCCTTCCTTCCCTCTTTCCCCTCTGGTAACCATAAGTTTGTTTTGTATGTCTGTGAGTCTGTTTGGTAAATAAGTTTATTTGTGTCTTTTTTTTTTTTTAAGATTCCACATATAAGTGATATCATATGGTATTTTTCTTTTTCTTTCTGGCTTACTTCACTTACTTCACTTACTTGGATGGACTGATGGACCAATCAGTCCATGGCCTGATAGATAACTTTACTTGTCCCTCATCTGCTTCCCTTCCAAGTGTTTGACAGTGGGTATTCTAGGTTTCTACCATTATAAACATTCTATTGGACAGAAATGCCCTTGGTTATTCTTTATAGAGTTGCCCACTGGAAAAGTAATTTGATTGCAAATTAGGGTCTGTAATCAGGTTTTGATGTCCTCAGGCCATTTGACTGGGACACAAAAATGGAAGCCATTGTGTCTGTTTCCTGTCTGCAGTGTCATAATATGTGTGATGTCTCCCCATCTCCTTCAGTCATGGATCTCTTTTTATTT